TAATTGAGACAACTCTGGCATTACCAAGGTAATAATCTTAGCATGGAAATCTAGAACGTCATGGTACAGAGACAACCAATCCCTACCCAGGATGACCTCAAAGTCTGCCATATCGAGCAACACAAGATCCGCTCTGGTCTTATAACCACAGAAAGTCATAACACAGGATCGGTAAACCCAATACATAACAACAGAATCACCCACTAGTGTGGACATATTTAGGAACACCCAAGGACTTATGAGAGACATCTAGGTAAGAAAGCAAATAGAGAAGACATATATGAATATGCAGACCCTAGATCGAATAGTATCGAAGCATCCCTACTGTAGAAAAAATAATACTTGTGATCACAGAGTCTGAGGATACTGTATCTGGTCTGGCCGAAAAGGCATATAAGCTCGCCAGAGCGCCATCTAGCTGGCCGGACGGGCGGTGCGGCAGCTAGTGCAGTGATCATGGGCTGATGCCCATGTTGTACTGCCTTGCCCTAAAGCCTTCACACTCATAGCGAACCTCTCGGTGCGGAAGACGATTGACTCTAGGTCTGACCTTGGTGACTGGAATACCTACTAAAAGAACCCTGAATAGCCGGTGGATGGTAGGAACTCTCTAGAATGGCGCTGAAGTAGGGCCGTACTGGAGCACCCCGAGCAGGCGGTAGTGCTGAATACATAAGCTGACTAGACTAGCCCATCACAAACTGACCTCTGCCTGGGACGGGGCACCATTGAATCCACCTAAATATCTAGGCCTATTGTCCCTCGGTGCATGCGCTGGCCCTACAGACGGATACCCTCGATCGGTCACATACATCTGACCCTGCTGGAGCCGCTCGAACTGACCGTGTAACTCTTCCCTCTGAAAGGGTGGAATATATCTCTCCAAAATGAGACGTGTGAACTAATCTCAAGTCAAGGGAGATGAACCTGCTGGCCTACTACAGAGATAAGACTGCCACCATCTACGGGTCTTGCCCTCCAATTGAAATGTGGTAAATTCCACCTGTTGGACTCCAATACTAATATGTTATGCAGCATATCCTTGCAACGATCAATGAAGTCATGTGGGTCCTCATGTCGCTCGCTGCAAAAGACAGGAGGATGTAGCCTGGTCCACCTATCTAACTGCTTATGCTACTCAACGGTCGCGGCTAGTATGGGCTCTAGTATAACTGTTGTAACTGAGTCAGCCCTGCCAGCATGTAGTGCACCTGGGGTTTGCTATACGGCAACAACGTTCCCTAAAGCCTGAGCGATAGGGGTCTGTGCTCCCCTTCCGCTTGAGATGTGGCTGGATCTACCGGAAATAGCCTGGCTTGAGTCATAAAATCCATGAAATGCAGCACACGGCCTATGACCTCCTGGAATCCCGGTGCATTCATAAAATTTGTCGGGACCAGCTCAGCTGCAGGCGCCTCATCCCGATCCTCAATATTAGGATCCTCCACTGGATCCATTGGTGGTGTAACAGGAGCAACTCTATGATGCCTTCATCCTCTAGCAGGAGTTGTGGCCCTCCCTCGGCATCTAACAGCTGAGGAGCAGGCCCTCTGCCACCAGATACAGTCGCAGCGCGCATTCTCACCATATGTGAGAGAATAAGAAAAATATACTTAGCTCAATATCAAATGCACGATGGTATATGAAGAAAGGGAAGTTTCCTAACACCCTATAGCCTCTCGAAAATAAGTACAAACGTCTCTGCACCAATTCACAAGACTCTATTAGGCCTGCTCATGACTTATGAGACCTACATGAACCTAGTGCTCTGATACTAAGCTGTCACGACCCATTTCCCACTACAGGCCGTGATAGCGCCCAATGTCGCCGTTAGGAAAGCCAACTGTGAACTAATTCATTTAATTATTCATCTTATTATTTCTAAAGTCATGAATTTTATTTAATAAAGAAAAAAGTATAAAAGGCAATGGTGATTTACAGCATAAAAATAAAACATAAGAGTGCAATTGTGATATTAACAGGCAAAAACCATAAATATCTACTCGAAATTCTGAAAACATGGTGTCACAGGTGCACGAAAAATCTAGTAGAATGTACAAACCACTAAAACTACTATCTTAAGTAAAATAGACAGGAATATAAATTACAACAGGATTGAGACTCCGGGTGCTGCAGATCGGAGCAAGGGGGAGCAACTCACCACTAGGCCTCCGGTTAATGTGGATGCGCGCCCGAACGAGTACCAGATGTACCTGCCTCAGTACCTGCACAATTTGTGCAGAGTGTAGCATGAGTACGTAAACAACGTGTACCTAGTAAGTATCTAGTCTAACCTCGAAGAAGTATTGACGAGGAGTCGACATCGATACTTACTAGTGGTCAATAAATAAAGAGCAGGAATTTTAAATAGGCATGAAATTCAATAGTAACAATGGAATGGGAAAACAATAAATAAATTATTCCTTAACAAAATATCAATATAAAATCTCAATTATCACATGCCAATTTCAACAAATAGGAGCCATCAAGTAATTATCAATTCTCAAGTAATGAAGAAAATGTCAAATATAACCGAACCCCTAGCAATATTACGCATAAGTTATGCCGAGGTCGTACGGTCCGATTCAGAATAATCGTGTACACTGTCGAGGGTCGACTGACACAAACTATAAATGAATCTCATATATACTGCCGAGGTATTCTGCCCGATCCACAGGAATAAAGAGACTCTAGAAGCTACGGACAACGACTACAACACAAGAATAGTTCTCAAAGAAGGAATAATTTTCACCAACAATCAAGTATTCTACCAAAACTAAAGAGAATGAAGCTCAGTCTCACATATCTAAATTAAATTTTAATTATAAATTCAACTAATTAAACTAACAAGTTGGGTTCAAATAATACAAGTATGGCATGGTAAAGTCCTAAATCTACCCGGACATAAGCATGATTTTAGCTACGTACGGACTCTTGTTGCTTCGTGCATACGTAGCACGCATAATTACTAGCAAATAACAATTTAAACACCTACGGGGATAGTTCTCTTATACAAGATTAGGCAAGAGACTTACCTCGCTTTCAAGTTCACTACTCGGCCCTTCAATCACATTAATTGCCTCAAATCGGTGCCGAGCAATCCGAAACTAGCCAAAGGTCATACAAACTAATCAATATATGATTAAAAGTTCATAAATTAACTATTAGAGTAATTATCAAACCCAATTTCAAAAATCCCTAAAAGTCATCCCCCGGGCCCACGTATCCGGATTTCGAAATTATTTTGTAGATAGATGTTACCCATAACCTTACGAATTCAAATATATAATTTATACACAATTCCATAATCAATTTTGTAGTCTAATTCCATTTTTACCAAAACCTAGATTTTTCAACATAATCCTCTGATTTTTACAATTTCTGTGTTAAAATTTACCCCTCCCCAGCTGGTCTTGCACTATGCGAACACGAAGGCTAGTGGCCAAGAACATCACGAACGTGATCCCTTTCTGACGAATGCGTAGAACAAAAAGTCCCCAACCCTAATTCCTTCATCGCGAACGCGAGTCTTTCTCTGCGTTCGCGAAGAAGGAAACGAGCAGCAGATTTGCTGCAATTTTGACTTAACTCCGGGTCATCCGAAACACACCCGAGCAACCTGGGACCCCGTTCAAATGCACCAACAAGTCCATTAACATAATATATACCGGCTCGAAGCCTCAGAACACATAAAATAACATCAAAACCAAGAATTGCAACCTAAAATCAAATTAATAAACTTATGAACTTCAAACTTCTTCAACTAGCTCCGAATGCGTCGAATCTATAAAACTCGGAATGACGACAAACTTTACGTACAAGTCAAAGATCACCATACAAACTTAAGCGTCGAAATGCTCCCGGATCACCAGAAACTTGATCCGAACACACGCCCAAGTCCAAAATCATCATACGGACCTATTGAAACCATCAAATCCTGGTTCCGAGGTCGTTTACTCAAAATGTTGACTCGAGTCAAACATGATCATCTTAGGCCACTATTAAGGAACTAAGAATTCCGATTTCAACCCGAACCCTTCCAAAACCATACCAACCATCCCCAATAAAAGCACATATAGGGAATCTTAAATAGGGGAACGAGGATCTAGAAAGCAAATCAACCGGTCGAGTCGTTACATTCTGAGAAATGCATTTCATTAGAAGTGCTTTTAAGAAAAAACATTTTTGAAGATAAGCAATTTATGTTTGACTAATCAATTAGAAAAACAGTTTTGCCAATATTTTGTACTTAGTCGGGGCTTTAAAAGTGCTTCAGAAAAAAATTACTCTTTTTAGCTTCTAAAGGTTATGCTACAACTCAAAAATACTAATTATTTTTTTCCTTAAAAACTTGGCCATAAATCTCAAATCTCCAAAATAAGCATTATTTTAAACAAACAAAAAAAAGTACTTTTGATATCCTAGAAACTTGACCAAACAAGTTATCAAATGTTGCATAAAATTATGAAGAAATTATTTTTTCTTATACAAACCAACCAAATAATGCATAAGTTAGGCAGTAATTATTTTTTCTAATCCCTCTATCCAAATATAACACTAGTATTATTTTATGCAAGATTTTATGTTAGGGATTATTTTTTTCAATCTCTCCGACCAACGACCCCTTAGAAATATTTGACATTGTATTGCTTAGAAGGGTAGGGTATTAAAATTAAATTGTACAAGACTGATTCTGGCGCCCAGAGGAAGAAGACATTTGCATTGAACTGATTTCAACTATGAAATCCACTGAACAGTCCTTGTAAAACCAATGGAGATCACATCATCCTACCCAAAGCCACCATTGTTTTAATATCAATACCTCTTCAAAAAACTCCAAGAAATGGATACCCGTCACTACTCACTCCATCTCCAACCCCCCACCCCTTTAATTTCAGTTGCCTTTACATAGACCCCACCAAAAAATACACCAACCCATTAAACCTGAACCCAAGAGAACTACAAAGCCAACATGCACAATCTCTGATGTTTTTAGGCTAATGGACGGTCTTGGCCTTAACATAACTGTTGACATATACGTTTCCCTTATCAAAGAATGCACGGAATCACGTGACCCTTTAAAAGCTGTTGAACTTTATACCCATATTTGTAAAAGTGATGTTATTCCTAGCTTGCCGCTACTCAACCGTGTGCTGTTGATGCTTGTTTCTTGTGGTTGTTTTCAACATGCGCGTCAACTGTTTGATAAAATGCGCGTCAGAAATTCTAAGTCTTGGGCTGCCATAATTGCGGGTTGTATTGAAAATGATGAGTGTGAAGAAGCTTTGCGTTTGTTTTTCGCAATGCAGAGTGAGACTGGGAAATTATGTAAATGCGGTGATTTAATTGATGATGGGATTTTGGTCTGTGTCCTTAAGGCTTGTGTGGAAATGATGAATTTAGAACTTGGGAAACAGATTCACGGGTGGTTAATTAAGGTGGGAAGTTGTGAAAGCTTGGCTTTGAGTAGTTTCTTGATTAAGTTCTATGGAGAGTTTGGTTATCTAGAAAGCGCAGATAATGTGTTCGATCATGTTCCACATTGTAATACAGTTGTTTGGACAGCTAGAATTGGCAATTTGTGTAAAGAGGAGCAGTTTGAAGGGGCCATAAGAATTTTCAGGGAGATGTTAAGAGAAGGAGTTAAAAAAAATAGTTTTACATTTTCAAGTGTTGTTAAAGCTTGCGGGAAGTTGAGGGATGCTGGATGTTGTGGTCAACAGGTTCATGCTAGTTCTATCAAGGCAGGACTTGATATGGATCGTTACGTGCAGTGTAGCTTGATTGACATGTATGGAAAATATGGGTTGCTAAGGGACGCTCTGAGGGTTTTTAATGCAGGAGAGGATAAGAGTAATATTGCCTGCTGGAATGCAATGCTGATGGGATGTATACACGATGGTTTCGGCATTGAAGCCATAAAGGTTCTCTATGAGATGAAAAAAGCTGGTTTGCAACCACATGAATCTTTGATTAAAAAAGTGTTGTTGGTTTGTGGGAGTAGTGATATTGAAAAAATGAATACTTGACCTTAAATGTATCTCTTAACCGTGAAGATATGAAGATGATTTGCATGATCAAGGAATTTTTCCGGAATATAATGCAGCCAATGAAGTGGCTAATGTCTCTAATTTCCTTGATGAGTTGGTTTCATTTCAAGGATCAACAAGGGTATGTATATAATAATGGTCTGGCGAGCTGCTATACAATCTTGTATATGGAGTATCTCTTAGTTTATATGAATATATGAAGATGATTTGCAAGATCAAGGAATTTGTCATGGAATGTAATGCAGCCAACACCTATGCATTGGCAAATATCTCCAGTTTCTTTGATGAGTTAGTTGCATTTCTAGGATCAACGAGGGTATGTATATAGTATTACTCTAAGAAGTTTGTGCAACAATCTTGCATACATGTATGTATATAATAATGTTCTGAAGAGTTGTGGAGCAATCTTGCAGACATGACGAGAAGTTATAGCACTAAACTGTGGGATACCCCATTTGACATGTTGTCGAGCTAGCATATATGTATACGGTCGAAATCGGGCTCGTCTATTGGATGACAGATCGGGATCGAAATGTGAACAGTTAAAGGTCGACCTCGGGTTCCATCAAACTAGGACACGAGGTCAGAAACATCGAGCCCATGACCCCGGAATCGACCCTGGCACTGAATGAGCTTGAGGAAACATTGTCAGATCAGATAACAGAAAGCCGAAATATCCGTTACCGGTCGGGTATCACTACGGGAATCTCGGCACGTATCAATGGGAAACCGGCTAATTAGCAAATCATGAATTTTTTACCTTTTATAGAATTGTACCTAAAGTAGGATTCCCCTACTATATAAAGGGGGTCTGATTATTTGTAAAACAGATTGTAACATTCACTCAGAAGTAATATACTGTTATTTTCTCTTTAAGTTCTATTTCAACTGTGTCTTGATACGGATCGAAGTGCACTCAACTAAAGGGTGGCTATACTCCCCAAGGCTTTTACTATTCGATTCGTATGATTTGAATTTACTTTATCATTCTTTATTTCTACTTACAATTTAAATTATCGCTTTCTGTCAATTTAATCCATGTATCCACATACAAATTCAGTTGTTATCCAATTTTGAGGGTAAACAGTTTGGCACCCACCGTGGGGCTAAGGATAATAGTGGTAATTTGAAACAAATTTCCATAACACACACTATTTGACACATGTTCTTTGAATTGTCTCTGATTTCAGGATAAAAATGTCAAACTCCCAATCAGTACCCCTACATGTTGACAATGAGTTCGTCCACCATGAAGAAAACGACAATGTAGCGCCAGGGAACGACGTGCCCCCGGTCGATCTCGACGGAATCCCAGCTGCAGATCCCATCGATGTGAGCTTGCATGTGGCCATCAACACAAATCTGCCCACTGATCCTGAGAGTAGCGTCCGCAGGGATGTTCGATCGGTCGCACAAAGCATACACGACGGTGAGGATGATGGAATCAACATGTGGGTGATCTTCGAAATGTTATAGGCTCAACAAATGGCGATAGCCCAACTTCAGAACAAGAGCCGCCCGCCAAGTAGGATTGAGCCAGAGCCATCCTAGGAAGTTGTTCACATAGTGGAATCGGCCTCAAGGGGATCGAATGAGAAGGAATTAGGGACTAATCCGGTAATCATGAAGATGCTCGAGGAACTGACAAAAATGGATTGAGTCGGGAGAGAAGAAGATCGAGGCAAACGACAAGAATGTGGCAACCTACAATTCCAGGGTCGATCAAATCCCAGGAGCGCCGCCGATATTGAAAGTCCTGGACTCCAAGAAGTTCGTGCAGAACCTTTCTTATGATTGCAGCTCCCAAGCCGATCCCTAATAAGTTTCGCATGCCCAAGATTCCTAAATATAATGGAACGACCGACCCGAACGATCATGTTACCTCCTACACATATGCCATCAAAGGGAATGACTTGGATGATGATGAGATCGAATATGTCTTGCTAAAGAAATTCGGAGAGACCCTATCGAAGGGAGCTATGACATGGTATCACAATTTACCACCTAATTCTATTGACTCTTTTGCTATGCTTGCAGACTCTTTCGTGAAGGCACACGAAGGGGCTATCAAGATTGAGACCATGAAGTCGGACCTTTTCAAAGTAAGGCAGAAGGACAATGAAATGCTCAGAGAATTCGTTTCCCGATTTCAAATAGAACGAATGGACCTACTGTCGATCGCTGATGATTGGGCCATTCAACCTTTAACCTAAGGACTCAATGTTCGAAGCTCGGTGGCTTCACAATAGTTGAAGCAGAATCTGATAGAGTGCCCGGCTGTTACTTGGGCCGATGTGCATAACCGATATCAATCAAAGATCATAGTCGAAGATGATCAACTTGGGGCTCCTTCCGGGTCCCTTTATCCTGTCAGAACTGTCGATAGAATCAAGAGAGATATCGACCGTGAACCGAGGTTAAAGAGAGATCGGTACCAGCCGTATAATGGAGATCGAAGAAGCAGTGGGTCCGGGGGAAGTTCTATGAGAAATGAAAGGAGAAGTGATCGAAGTCAGAGCACTGAAGGACTCATGAGTAAGAACGGCTTCGACAGGACTATTGGACCTAAAGAAGCACCACAGTTATAGGAATATAACTTTAATGTTGATGTGGCTGCCATCGTGTCAGCTATCAGACGCATCAAAGATACCAAATGGCCTCGACCTTTACAATTCGATCCAGCCCAAAGAGATCCCAACCAGATGTGCAAATATCATGGCACTTATGGCCACATAACGGAGGATTGCCGACAGTTGAGAGATGAAGTAGCCTTGTTATTCAGAAACAAGGATTCTAACAAACAGATCGAACCGGAAGAACCTCAACATGTCATTAACATGATCATCGGTGGAGTTGATATCCCTAAAGGGTCGATGTTGAAGCGCACCAAAGTGTCCATCACAAGGGAAAAACGAACTCGAGATTACATACCAAAAAGAACCTTGTCTTTCAATGACGAGGACGCAGGAGGGATCGTTCAGCCTCACAACGATACACTAGTAATATCTGTACTCATAAATATATCTCGAGTTATGCGTGTGTTAATTGATCTAGGTAGCTCGGCCAACATGATCCGATCGAGAGTCGTAGAACATCTCGATTTTCAAGATCAAATCGTACCTGCAGCCCGAGTTCCGAACGGGTTCAACATGGCATGTGAAACCACAAAAGGGGAGATAACATTACTAGTCAACGCCGCCGGGACCATCCAGGAGACCATGTTTTATGTGATCGAAGGAGACATGAGATACAACGCCTTGTTCGGGAGGCCATGGATCCACAACATGAGGGCAGTGCCTTCGGCTCTTCACCAAGTGATAAATTTCCCAACGCCGAGAGGGATTAAGACAATCTATGGAGAATAGCCGGCCGCAAAAGAGATGTTTGCAATTGAAGAGGTGATTTTAATATCAACACTCGCGACGTCAAAGGAACCAAGCTCGGGTGCAAGGTAAGAGGCCAAATAGCAATCACAGATACGGGTCGCGACCCAACCGGATAAGTAGAGGACTGACGAGGACGATGATTACGGGGTTCCCCGATCTTTTATAGTCCCAGATGACTTCGAGCGAAGAGCTGAAACAGGTCATATTGATCGAGTACCTGCACGATCGGAAGGTATACCTGGGCACGGGGTTAACCCCCGAACTCAGGAAAAAAATCATTCAATTTATTATAGCTAACATAGAATGTTTTGCTTGGTCTCACCTTGATATGACAGGGATCCCACCCAAGATAACCACTCACAAACTAAGCCTGGACCCGAAAGTTCATCTGGTCAAGAAGAAGAGGAGGCCCTAGTCCAAGGTGAAACATGCTTTCATCAAGGACGAGGTATCTAAACTCCTTAAAATAGGGTCAATTCGGGAGGTTAAATACCCCGATTGGTTAGCAAACGTAGTGGTAGTCCCTAAAAAGGGGAACAAATTAAGAATGTGTGTAGATTATAAGGATTTGAATAAAGCGTGTCCTATGGACTCCTTCCCTCTGCCCAAAATCGATCGCATGATCGGTTCCACGACTGACCACGAGATCCTCAGTTTTCTCGATGCCTATTCCAGGTACAACCAAATACGGATTGACCCGGATAATCAGGAAAAAACCTCCTTCATCAACAAGTAAGGCACGTACTGCTATAACATGATGCCAATCAGATTAAAAGACGCTGGTGCCACTTATCAACGCCTACTAAACCGGATGTTTAAGGAACAAAAAGGAAAATTGATGGAGGTTTACATTGACGATATGTTGGTTAAGTCCCTGCGATTATAGGACCATTTAAAACATTTGCAGGAGACCTTCAGCATATTAAAAAATTAGAATATGAAGCTGAACACGGAGAAATATCCGTTTGGAATCGGATAAGGTAAATTCCTCGGGTTCATGGTATCAAACCGAGGAATCGAGATCAAACCCTAAAAAATCAAAGCCATCGAAGATATCACAGCCGTGGACAAAGTGAACGTCGTGCAAATATTAACCGGGCGCACAGCCGCCCTGGGACGATTCATCTTGAGGTCCTCAAATAAGACTCACTGATTCTTCTCGCTACTCAAGAAGAATAAGAAATTTTTGTGGGCCTGGGAGTGTCAGCCGGCCCTGGAGGAACTCAAGCAGTATCTATCGATCCCATCGCTGCTTCACACATCGAAGGCAGACGAACAGTTATACATGTACTTGGAAGTATCGAAAATAGCGGTAAGTGGAGTCCTGGTCCGAGAAGAACGAGGTACACAATTTCCAATTTACTATATCAGTAGGACTCTAGGTGTGGACAAAACTAGGTATCCTCAACTGGAAAAATTGGCGCTCTCTTTTGCTAAGCGCCTCTAGTAAACTGAAACCGTAGTTTCAATGCCACCCCATATGTATTGTGACAACTTACCCGTTGTGAAATATTATGCATAAACCCGAACTCTCGGGCTGATTGGCCAAATAGGCCGTAGACATCAGTGGGTAGCATATTGCATATTGACACCGGACAACCATTAAGTCTCAAATTTTGGCAAATTTAGTGTTCGACTTTATGCCGGCCCTAATACCCCGAGGTCGAACAAGAGTTGCTGGTAAACTTGAGCATGTTCTCAGGAATATGGACCCTCTTTACGGACTGTGCCTTGAACCCTGATAGCCGAGATTGACCAGTGGGAGAAGGATTATGAGATTCTCGAGGATAAGCTATCATTGGATGTGAGTTGGGCTTTCCTAAACACTCGCCTCGAAACTCTAGTTGAAGCCAACCAGGAGGATTTTGACCTTAATGCTGAGATTGTCAAAGCTAAAGAAGCAGTTGAGAAAACTCAACAACGTCAAAGCTTTTCATCACCTGAAGTCGAAGGTCCTGAATGTGATGTACTTATTCCTGGTGAGGCTGATGTTCAAGCCTCTTCTTCTCAAGTTAATCCTTCTTCTCCCGTTGATGATGCTCCCGTGAATGATGCTCCCATTGATGATGCTCCTTAGTTTTCTCCTACCTTTTATTTTGTTGCTTTGCACTTGATTTAACAACTTTTGGTAAGGTTGTTTTTTTTATAATTGGGAAGGTCGTTTTTTGGTTACCCCTGTCTTCTTTTGAGGTTGAATGACAAACTAACACCTCTGTTTTTCCAAGGTTTAATATTTATATATATTTCGTCTACTTTTACCGTTTATTCTGCTATTCGATATTTGAGCTAATTCCTTGTATTTATAAATGCCTTAACAATCCGTGACTTTCACAAACACGAATTTTTATAAAAGATGGCCCTTTTATGTTAGCGGCACTAATAAAGATGACGTCTCATCTTCATATTGGTGTAAATATATAAAATACGAACTAGACATGAAAAGAAATAATTTGAGGAACTTTCAAATGAATTTTGTACATCATTTTCATTTATTCATACAACACTTTAATAACTACTTTCTTTGCAACAGATTTTGAGATACAAAATCGGGTCTATTATCATGTGTGATGACCCAAAAGGTCATCTTTAAATTTAATAATTAATTTTGTGTTCTAAGATCACAAAAAGCATAATTTATCACTCCTCGACTTGCGTGCATAGTCTGTATAATTTTCCAAAAACTTTTTATGTAAAAAATAGATTAAAATGTAAAATATAGCCTTAAAACTCAACTGAGTAGACTTTGGTCAAAATTTTGAGCAAACGGACCCGGATCAGTGTTTTGACAGTTCCGATAGGTCCGTATCGTAATTTGGGACTTGGGTGTATGACGGAATTTAATCTGGAGGTCCCTAGCTCAAGTTATGACCATTTAACAGAAACTAGTAATTTAAAGGCTAAAGATTTCCAAAAGTTTGACCACGGATTTGACTTTTTGATATCGTGGTCGGAATCTGATTCCGAAAATTTGAATAGTTCCGTTATGTCAATTATGACTTGTGTGCCGAATTTGAAGTCATTCCGGATTCATTTAACATTATTTGTAAATTGAAAAGTTTGAAACTCCAAAGTTCGAATCGAGGTGTGAATTGTAATTTCAATGTTATTTGATGTGATTTGAGACCCCGAGTAAGTCCGTGTTATGTTACGGGGCTGGTTGGTATAATTGGACGAGGTCCCGAGGGGCTCGGGTGAGTTTTGGACGAGTTTCAGACCATTTTTGTAAATATTACAGGTCTGGTTCTGGTGTGTCGCACCTGCGCAATTTTGGCCGCAGCTGCGAGGTCGCTTCTGTGGCTGAGAGACCACAAATGCGGAGGTCTCTCTTCTGCGGCTTCCTTCGCGCTTCTGTATAGTCGCATATGCGACGTGAAGGTCCGCATATGCGGTCCTTTGCTGGGCAGCCTTGCTCTGCAAATGCGAGCTTTGTCTCGCAAATGCGAGGCCGCAGGTGCGAAAATATAGCCCGCAAATGCAAAAATGCTAGGCAGAATACATAAAATCAGGTTTTGGCCATTTTTACTCATTTTTGAGTTTTGAGTTTTGAGTCTCGGATTTTGGCCATTCCAAAGGAATTTTTTACGACTTTGAATTGGGCAAGTGTTCTATAACCAAAAGTGATTATATTCTATTAATTCATGTCTATATTCATCATTTATTTCAGATTTAGATGGAAGAAATTGGAGTTTTTGTAAAACTTTCCAAAAACAAAAAATTTAGATTTGAAGGTCCATTTGACATTGGAATTTAATATTTTTTGTATGGTTGGACTCATCTCGGAATGGGTGTTCGGATTTCATAAGTTTTTTCGAGATTCGAGACATGGGCCCCACTATTGATATTTGAGATGAATTTCGGATTTTAATCCACAAAATTAGTAAATTCATATGGAATTAATTCCTACGATTTGTATTGAGTATATTGAATTGTTTATGACTAGATTTGAGGATTTCAGACACGAATTCGCGAGGCAAAGGTTTATTGGATTCTTGAATTTGGTTGCAAACCGAGGTAAGTGTCGTGGCTAACCTTGACTTGAGGGAGTAGGACTTAATTGTATATTTGCTAAATGATTTAATGTACGGGGACAACATATATGTAAAGTGACGAGTACTTATGCGTTGTGGTTGAGTCAAAGTATGCGAGTGGAATTTGTTTATTGTGAATAATTTTCTATTTAATTAAGATATTCCTGCTTAAGT